CACCTTTCCTGGAACTCACTTTGAAGACCAGACTGGCCTCGAACTCAGAGATCTGCCTGGCTCTGCCTCCCGAGTGGTGGGAGTGCTGGGATTAAAGGTGTGCACCACAACCACCCGGCAACAAAGAATTGCTCTGGTTTTTTTTTTTTTTTTTTTGGAGCTGAGGACCAAACCCAGGGCCTTGTGCTTGGTAAGCGAGCGTTCTACCACTGAGCTAAATCTTCAACCCTGGATCTTTGTCAAGCATCTGTGTTGGCTTTATGACTTCTGCCATTCCATTTAGATATGGCTGTGCCAGAAAGGACTTCTGCCATTCCATTTAGATATGGCTGTGCCAGAAAATACTGCAGGAAACTTTAGAACAAAATGTGATGACAAGTAAAGATGGATTTCTCCATTTGATGAGGTGGGGAGATGTTGGTTGGGCATGTCCATCTGTTTGCCTCCAGCCAGAAACACTGCCTGATGGAGCTGCGTTGTGGATCCCTAAATGGTGGTGATGAGCCTTGCTTAGCCAGGGATGACAATCTGTAGAGGAGGCATCTTTGTGACAGGCTAGCCCAGGCAGCCCCCTTGTCAGGAAGGCATTGAGAAGTGTGGCCTGTAAACACAAGAACGCCTGTCTACATCTCATGCTCTTCGGCAGTGCCTGTTCCAGTCCTGGCACTGTGTCCTGGTGACTGTGCTGGTGGAGCCATGTGCCACCTCCTACTGAGAGCTGGCGCTTTGCCCACCAATCCCCTAAGCCTTCAGCGAGAATTACCCCTTTGGCCAGTGTCATTATTCACTCATCCTTGGGGTGAACGCAAGATGGAGACAGACAAGGGCTGTCAGGATCGGGTGTGTGTCCAAAGGAGATGGTAAAGCAGAGGGATGACATGGGCTTGTGGTTGGGGACATGCCACTGTGTGGGGATGAATCAAATGGCTTTGTGTCCTGGCTTGCCCCTTACCAGTAACTCTTGCTGGACCTACCTCACCCCTCTCATCTGGACAGTGTAATGTTTTCCTGTGTCCTGCCTGGCCCGCGGTCAGGACAAATCTCTCTCACCCACCAGTCCCAAGCAAACACACAGAGGCTTATATTAATTAAAACTGCTCGGCCATTAGCTAAGGCCTACCACTGACTAGCTCCTACACTTAAACTCAGCCCATTTCTGTTAATCTATATGTTGCTATGTGTTCAGTGGCTTTACCTATGTGCCATTACATGCTGCTCCCTGGATGGAGGGCTGGCATCTCCTCACTCAGCCTCCCTCTTCCCAGAATTCTCCTTGTCTGCTTATCCTGCCTATACTTCTTGCCTGGCTACTGGCCAATCAGTGTTTAAATCAGTGTACAAATGCATTATTCCACAGCAGGACAGTTTAGATGTAAAGGTCCCTTTAGGGTTGGAATGAATGTGCTAAGTTAGTTGCTTGACCTACAGCCCATTTGATGTCTATTTGATTGTTCTTGGGAACTAACCATTGAGCTGAGAGAATCCTTAGACATTCTAGAAAGTAAAGCATACCTAATGAGGGACAAAAGCCTTATTTATCTATGTCTGTTGAGGTCAGCCTGAGACACCTTCTGTTCCAATACCCAGGGAGCGGAAGTGTACCCCAGTGTCCACATGAGACAGGCTTATGCAAAGCAGCTCTAGGGGAGTCAAATAAATAAATAACTAGATGCTACAGTGTTTGACAATGTGCAGTCTCATTCTATCAGCTGTCCACTGTGATGTCTAATGTGACAAAATTAAACTTTATGTTGTGCTCTAGTGGACTTAGAGGCAGAACAGCTATCCCAGGGCCCAGAGGAGGTGGAACTCACAGGGAGGAAGACTCAAGGTTGTTGATGTCAGTTCTGGCAGTTGGCATCATGGTCTCAGGCCTACCACTGACTAGCTCTTACACTTAAACTCAGCCCATTTCTGTTATGTCTCTGCTGGTCCTTGCAGCCAATGGAGAAGGGCTAGCCAACGGGGAAGGGCTGGCCATGCAGGTGCCCCTGGGGTCTGGCATTACAGCACATCATCCTATGGTCCTTGCAAAGAAGCTGTCCCAGTTGCCTGCCTGACTTAACACATGCCCCCACCTTGCAGCTCAGGGGCTTTACAAACTGGAGCAGCCTTCCTGTCAGGGCTCAAGCCCGCTGTCCCAGTTCGATGTCAAGTCCAATGCTGCCACCTGCTGTCTGTGCTCAGGCTCATCTTCAGGGCCTGGCACTCAGGTGTTCCCTATCCTAACAAAGATCCGTCTATTTTGACACACTGGACTCAGCTTGATGCCTTGCAATTTGTTGTTTATTTATGTGCATGGGTGTTTTGCCTGCACGCAGATCTGCACCACATGCATGCTTGGTTCCCATGGAAGCTAGAGAAGGGCTTTGGATCCTCTGGAACTGGAACTAGAGATGGTTGTGAGCTGCCAAAGTGTGTGGGTGCTGGGAATTAAACCTGGGTTCTCTGGAGGAGCAGCCAAGTGCTTGATTTTTTTTCCAAGTCAGGGTTTCTCTGTGTAGCCCAGGATATCCTAGACTTTCTCTGTAGACCGGGCTGGCCCTAACTCAGAGATCTGCCTGCCTCTGCCTCCCGAGTGCTGGGAGTAGCAGTGCTCTTAACCACTGAGCTGTCTTTCCATTCTGCCTCATGATCTTTATACTCACAGAATCAATCAACTGCATACTGATAATTTTCCATGATGCCGCTTAAGGATTTGATGGCAAATGGGCTTTATCAGCCCCAAGAGATGAATATGTGTGGCTGTTTCATACTAGTTCATTCTGGGAGCTCTTCAGTGTTGAGTACATTGTAAACTCTGGTGAAAAATAGGCTCGAAATGGTGAGTGGGGACCACTGAGGGTCAAGCTGCCTTCACCTCCACAGCTGGACTGCAATATTCAGGCTTAGGCTAACGCAGAAGGCAGAACGTGAACAGTGGACAGCAGAGGGGCATTTATACGGGGAAAGCTAAGAATTTTTAAATATCTTGCTTTTCTTAACAAGGTTGGTTGAAACTGGAGGAGGCAGCTTTCCCAGAGCCCTGCTTCTCACTCCATTTAAACTCAGCCCCCAGGGTAGTGATTAGAACAAGTTACTGTCTGGATGAAGAGCAACTTCTCAGATTTATATACTTTATCAATTTTTTTGTAAAATATCAGGGACTAAGGAGGGGTCCAGCCCCTCAATACTCCCCTCCCAGGGCCCGGGAAGAATCTACAACCAGCTGATAATTTAATCTTTGATGATAGAGAATGAATCTATGTACACGAAACTCCCTAGTCCATACACTTTATTCTTCTGAGTCAGTTCTCTCTCTACACAGCTTCTATTCTGCTCTCATGCCTAGCTCCTTTCTTGCCTGACTTCTCTCTACATTTATCTGCTGTCCCCTCTAAGTTCTAACTTAATTCTCTCATCTTAGCTCTGCCCCATCTAGGTTCTCATTTATCTAGTTCCTTCCCATCTTAGCTCCTCTCCCATCTCCTCTCTCATCTTGTTCTTCCTCATCTTGTTCTTCCCCATCTGGCTCTTCCTCATTTTCCATCTCATTCCTCTAGACCTCTCTTCTAGCCCTTCAATCTAGTTCTTCCCATCTAAGTCCATTCCTCTTCAGTTCTTACCAATCTACTTCTTCCATTCTCTTTTCTCTTCTCTGTCTCATCTTCAAGTTCTCTAGTCAAAATCCTCCTTCTCCCTCTCAGTTCTCTGTCCCCTTAGTTCTCTAGGATATTCAGTTATAAACCGAAGCCATAGTGATCCTCTGACAGAGCAAGTTCACCAGGCTTGAATTCTTATGGGGTAATAAAGGCAGGTAAGATTTTTCCTCAGGCAGTGGCCATCAGATGTCTTTCTATTACAACCCAATTGAGTGCTAATGATCGGTTAGTCAAGAAGGGAATTTATGTGCTCAATCTACATTCCTAGAAGTGGTTAGGTAAGGAATCAGGAGTCTATTAGTAAGTCTGGAAGGAAGGAGGGTCTCACCCTAAATAGCACAAGAAATAAAGCTATCCTCCTGACCTAGGAGATAGGTGTTGTTTCTCTTGGCCTTGGATGTTTGATAGGTATGTGTATGG